ATATAGGTGTATAAATATCTAAATATCTATATTTCATAACATAGATATTTAGATATTTATATAACCTATATTATTATTTTAAATAACGCTCCTTTGCCCCATTTCATTAAAAAAAAATAAAAACAAAACAAGAAAGTAAGAAAGTTGTAAACTATGAAATACAGATGGCGCTTTTCTTCGTGTTACCCAATTTTAGGCCGAAGATTGGTCTCTATTTCAGTATGTTACAAAGTACTCTGTGGATTTGCTATTGATAATTTGACAAATGTAAACAATAAAATAATTTTTTTATAATTTCATGCGGATGGAGCCGCGCGGAAACAGATAAAAAATAATAAAAATAAATTTAAGTTTGTTACTTTTAGTGTTTTCTAGTATTTGTAAGTATTGTAATGCTTTAATTAGATTTAATAATTATTAATTTCATATATTTGAATTACTACCTTCAAATTTACTCAGGAAATGTTAAACACTTAATTGTAGGATAGTAGATATATACAATGTAGATAAATTCTCGTCTTTCGTAAGCGCCTTTGGCCGGCTTAACCGCGTCGTAGGCGGCCTTTCTGACCCTCCCGTCCCCCACAACCCAACAGGATGACTCACATAAGCCCCCTTCGGGTTTTACCTGCGTTTTTAGTTCTTTTAACCTATGCTACAGATTATACAATAAAACAGACAGACAAAAATGCAATTCTGTTTTAAAAGGTCGCATCGAAATTTTATTGTAAAAATTGTTAACTAGAGATCGCTTATTGTTCGATATTAAATAACTAGCTGTTGCTTACGACTTCATCCGCGTGATATTAAATAATAATGAAGATAATATAGCCGATGTTGCTCACAGATAAATTACCTTTCTAACAGTAAAAGATTTATTAAAATCGGCAGAGCAGTTTTTGAGTTATTTCAATACATACAAAAATGCAACTTTTGTCTTTATAATATTTGTATAGATAATCAATTTATGTAAGAAGGTTCTATTGTCAACCAAATCTCTACAATCAAAAAATTTGTATAGAAATAACTTTTTTTTAATTGTTATAAAGCTAAAGACTATCCTCTATGTCTATGCCAAATTTCATGGAGATTCGTTAAGCAGTTAGGCTACAAACTCTAACATTAGTAAGATAAAATTACCTCCATCTTAATCTTCGTCTCGCCAACGCTCCCTGAGACACTGGTGATGATGGGGGTCAGGTAATCTTCTTCTTCTTCTATCTCTTGCTTGATGGTGACACCATCTCTCTCCGACAGCCGCTCCAGCATGTCCCCGAGGAAGTGCTTGTTGTGTGTTAACATGTGCTTTTGTAGGTGGTCTTTGCGATAAAAATCTGTTAAGGGACGTTAGTTCAAGTAAAATGCTTTAAGATCAATAACAGAAACGTATTTTGGTTTTGGGAAACCTATTGCTGTGGGGGAGTTACTTACTCTTTTGGCAGACTTCGCACTCGAGTGGTTTCCCGCCGCTATGTATAGCAAGATGTATGTTCAGATGCTCTTTACGTTTGAAGGCTTTGCTACACACGTGGCAGGTGTGAGGTCGAACCTCCAAGTGACCCTGCATGTGTCTCTCCAAATGCTCCTTACGTTTCAACCTTAGGGGCAAAAAGTTCTGTTATTATGCTATCATGGCGACGGTCAAATATTATCACACTAACATTATAAATGCGAAAGTTTGGGTGGATGTTTGTTAGAGTTAGTAGCCTAAACGGCTGAAAGGATTTTGATGAAATTTGGTAGAGATGTAGAGGATGGTCTGAAAGAACACATAGGCACACTTTTTTTTTTTAATTCCTTGCGGATGGAGTTGCAGGGAAAGGTAGTCGTTAAATAGTGGTCAATATTTTGGTAATTAAATGGATTGATTGATCTTTTTTTTTGCAATTTCATTATAAGCAAAAGATACGTTCCTATCAGAGAACAGAACAAGGTTTTGGTGATTTGTATACTCTATCTACGATGCAATTCTCTTGAGGTTGCGGTTTGAAGGGCTTTACAGAAATGGCGGTAAACTTCCTGTCGTAAAATATACGTTGGGGAATTTAGTTCCATACTATATTTTAATATAAATATACTTAATATTTGACAATTTGCATGTTATTTATAATTCATAAGCACATAGGAGAGGCACAAAGTTAGCATAAAATTTACCTTGACATTGTACTTATTTTTGAAATGTAGGTTAATCTGAATTTAATAAACACACCCTAATTCTGATGCGTTTAAGTGTTTTTAAATTTTTTTTTTTAAATTAGCATTCTGATCGGTTGCTAAACGCGCGGCCCTATACAGATTTATGTGTGCAAGGTCCACCCTTATTTTATACGTTTGAGTAAATCCCCAAATCTCCGTTTCGAGTACCCTTCTATAAACTGGTCACAGTTTTATAAGCGAACAAGAAATCCTTATAATCCTTAATATAGTATTTAACATTTTTAGCTTAATTAAAAAATGTTCGACATTGTTTTATATTTTATTGCCGCAATCTTTTAGTAGTATCTTTTAGTTGTTACTAAGGGCCTCCTTAATTGTAGATATTGTATGTAAAATCTTTGTAGAGATTACTTGAAAAAAATACCGTTAGTATTCGAGTTGCATAGAAAGCGGTTAAAAACCTGACAACCGTTAGGGCAGTGTCTTGCCGCTTGTGGAGTAGGCCGCCCCCCCACTAAATGGAGTGATGACCTACCATACTGGGAGAGAGTAGGAGGTTGACTGACTATGGAGGAGGGGGAACTGAACATCTATTTTGTATTACTAAGTTTTTTGAGATTTATCGATGGCTCCTACGTAGACTATCATACGTTACAATTTAAATAACACATTTTTAATTGATACAGTACTAATTTTTGTGTTTTTAAAGTAACATTAGAATAACAAATATAGACTTTAGTTAACTATCAGTTGATGTTTGATACCTCGTAATTAATCGCATTAATGTTTTTGCAAAATTGACGTTTCAAACTTACGATAGTTTACTTAGGAGACATTGTAATAAAGAGTTGCGAATAAACTCTACAATAAAACCTAAGTAAATAGAATAATAATAGTAATAACATATACAAATAAAAAAAAAGTTGATCTTAAAAAAGAACGATCGATCGACACAAAACATTTTAAAGTTCCCAAAACAACAAAAAAACTCACACAGGTACCTGAAGATGGTGTTAAAGGTTGTTAGGCTTTTATTTAGTTTTAGTCCATAAATGCATAAAGTTGTGATGATGATAAACATATTTTTAATTAAAAAAAACCTAATAAAAACGTAAATAGCATAGGGTTTAGACCTAATTATGTATTTATGTTTTTACAACCATAAAAGCGTACGAAAAAAAAACATAAATGTATACTAACATATACATCTTGATCCTCTTGTAGGTTTTAAAGAACCATACACTAATCACTGAAATACATTCTAAACACTATCATCACTGCACATAACGCGTTCTTTAATATTTATGTCTATAAAAAAAAATACAGAGCAAAAAGGGTGACCAGACGACCGTTCGTGGGACGAGACGAACACGACTGCGCTATATGACCGTGAGGCTGCCGCCACATGCCGAAACTTAAAAAAAAAAAACACGTGATCTCACTTTAATCTTTAAGGAATTTTCGAATAATTTCTTCATATTTTTAACTTGATGTTCGAATAATGTAATACATATTCTTGTGTAAAGGGTCGCTAGTGCGAACCCGTACTTACAATGTTCGCAACTAAATCAAGAGTAAACAAACAGTCAGCAATTCTTGAAATACATAAAACCTCGTTTTATGACAACTATGAAGTTAGAAGGCACAGGTAGTATCGATCTAATCGATCTAATAAGAACGTTGATCGCGGGAGTAGGTAAGTCTTTCTAAAGTGTCAAGTTTAGTGCGGATACTTGCTCAGCATAGCGTCGGTACACGAAGCGGGCAGATGTCCTCCCACCTATTTACTATAGGTATAAAATACTGGTAGCTCTCCCCCATAGACCTAGCCTAGATCATTGACTGGCGACGCCAGTGAGCAGAGAACGAATGAACGAAACTTACCCAGTTCCACAGATGCCGCAAAGATATCTATACTCGTTGTTGTGTTCGCAGAGATGGAGTTCCAGTTTCTCCTTGTCGTAGTATTGCGCGGGACATTCCATACATTCAAATCTAACAGCGCCATCTACTTCGTGGATTATCTTCGCGAATTTTGTCCTTCCCATCAAATTCCGTTTGATGATTTCCTCCACCGATTTCATATCTGTAGGGTTTATACATTTTAATAAACATTATTGAAAGCAGTTTAACCTTTCGGTGGACCATGAACAAAGTGAGTTTTACTACAGAAAACAATGGATGTAAACATGTTTTTATCTGTTTTTCAGAAAGAAGGGCCGATATTGATTTATAATTGTAAATGAGATATTTAGATTAACCAATTGAAATGACAAGAAATTCGCTAAGATAAGAGAGTATTAACGGGGAATAGTTTTCCCGCCAAATTATGAATTGAGCACGAGGATGTCCTTGACATTGCTACGACTATTGCGTTTCGAAATTTAATAATGCGCCAAACTATTACAACTGTGATCTATGTAATAATAACTTTTATTTTATTCTAAAGAGAATTTTTACATGTGGTACAGTTTAAATAACTACTTACAAATTGTTTTCGAGTTATTTGAATCTATGCTATGTAGGAATCTTGGAATTTTGATTTTTTAACATATTTGTAGGTACATTTTTCGAGTCTCTTGGGTGGGGGCAGCTATCCCCCTTCGTCCCTCTGGCGACGCCCACTTATATGATCATTATTTATTACTAACTACAGAATGGTCTAAAATAGCTACCAATACCACAATTAATAAAACAACTTAGTAAAACATTGCTCATTAGAAAAAAGTTTCACTTGTTGGACATTTTGAAAATACGGTTTAAGTTTTACGATAAAAGTGAAGGGATATTGCTGTGAGCATTATATTCGAATCTTGCTTCATGTTCAATGTTCATTTGTACTTACGACCACTAAGAGATTGGGACAAGCAGAATTTCTAAGTACATACATATGTCCATATTTATACTGAAAAATTTACTGATAATAAAGCAAAAAAAAAAGAAAGTATTTTAGCAATATAATATTTACCTTCCACCTTGGTTTCCATGTCAGATGTTATATTATGGCACACTTTACTTTATGTAAAAGTTTAAAACTTTCTCACATTCACTGCGAACTATAGTGTAGAGGGGAAACGCCGATCTTGAAATAGTTATCCCTTCCTTTCCAACGGTCGCCCAAGGCCTGAGCTCCCCTCCGCACAGGGGTGACTACCCTTTGTCTACCCTAACATCCCCTACATAAGGGAGGGGACCCCACTTCGTCCGGTTAGGAGGGTGAGTTCACTTAACCCCGCATTGATTCAAAACTCTACCTGAGTCCCAAATTACCGTTAGAAAACATAATAATAATATTGGAATCTCCTACTTATCACTCACAGAAACAAAATTCGAGAATAAAAAGTTTTGCAACAAACATTAAACTAGTTTATAATTGAACAATTACATACAAAATTTTATAATTTGAGTCTATTAGTAAAAATAGATTACGCATTAGCACATATGCTAAGTCAACATTAAATTACGGATAATAGGAAAATAATTAAGTTTACAATTCACAACAACTCATAAACACAAAAATCACAACAATCCACCATAAGGACTAATTTATAAATGACGTTGACGTGAATGAAATGAACGATGAACCAGATGAACATGGACATATAATGGGATTGTGGTGATCTATTTGAAACATAATTAAAGGAATTATTGGAATCTCATCAAGCATTTCTATTTTAAAACCATTTTTGATTAAGAAACCTAGAGGAAACTAATTATAAAAAGGTGTAATTCACTCAGAATTTAAACATTTCAGAGATAAAAGTTGGCAACAAAATGCCATGAACGTCAAAAAAAAGTGTCAAATCAGCGTTGTGTCAAACAAATGTCAATCAAAGTTTGCATTCACGTGGTCAACAAGTGGTTAAGTTTGGTTTAAACAAAGTACAAAATCGTAATTGCACTTAAAAGTTATCTGTAACATAACGTAACACTAACTATGGATTTCGCCAAACAATTAGAAGAATTAGCTATAAACCTATTCAAAATTGACGCCGTTAAATTCGGCGAGTTTACCACCAAAAGTGGTATGAAGACGCCTGTTTATTTTGATTTAAGGGTTATAGTTAGCTATCCCGCTATAATGGTAAAAAACTGTAATAGAAAATACCTATCATAAGGAACAATTCTATGAGTGACTGTCTTAAACTTAGATTTCACTGAACACAGACGTAAATAAAGTCTCACTGTTCTGAGTTTTAGCCTATTTTAGGTTCAAACACTTTCCTCTATCTGCCCATCTCTATCGTTCATGTTTCTTTTCATGGTTTTGATGAACTCCTGATTTATAAACATTATGACATTTTCCAGGAATCAATATCCAATCTATTGTATTCAAGTTCATTGATAAGTCTTGAATATGACCATTTATGCGGAGTTCCATACACCGCTTTACCGATCGCAACATTGCTTAGTGTGAAAGCCAATAAATCTATGCTAATGAGACGAAAAGAAGCAAAATCTTATGGAACCAAGAAACTTATTGAAGGTCATTTTTCAAAAAATCAGAAATGCTGTATAGTTGAAGATGTGGTAACATCAGGTTCTAGTGTGCTAGAGACAGTTAATGATTTAAGGAAAGAAGGTTTAGTTGTTGAGGAGGCTGTCATTATTCTGGACAGAGAACAAGGTGGTAAACAAAATCTAGAAAAAAACAAAGTTAAAATCATGTCTCTTTTAACAATGTCTGAATTGATTAAGATTTTGGTTGATAATAATTGTATCACTAAAGAGATTGGAGTTGAAGTTACAAATTACCTGAACAGTACCAAAGCACCATCTGTAAAGTTGTCTGAAGGTATAGTTTTTATGGCAATCATAGATAGAATTATTTTTAATAACCTTTACTGGTTCCATGTATATTTTTTTTAATCATATTTCAGAGACTGCTGCAACGAGATTGAATATGCCATATGAAAAAAGAGCAGATGCAACAAAGAATCCTATAGCAAAACAGTTGTTCAACATAATGGCAACTAAAAAAACAAATTTATGTATCTCAGTTGATTTGACATCATCAATACAGATTTTGAATCTTTTAGAAAAAGTCGGAGAACATGTGTGTTTAGTGAAAACACATGTAGACATAATTGAAGATTTCAACTCTGATTTTGTAGAAAAATTAAAGCAACTGGCAACAAAATTTAATTTTCTTCTACTGGAAGATAGAAAATTTGCTGATATTGGCAACACTGTTTCACTTCAGTACTCAAAAGGGGTCTACAAAATAAGTGAATGGGCGGACTGTGTTACTGTACATTCTTTACCCGGAGAGGGAATTTTAAAGGCACTAAATAGTGCCAGCACAGATAAAAGTAAAGGTGTTTTTCTTCTGGCAGAAATGAGCAGTGAGGTTTGTATTTTAGCAGACTGTCTTGTTTAATTCATAATGTAAATTACAGTGTAAACATTTAATTATTACTTTAGCCAATATATGTTGAATTACAAATATTATGTATTGTGTTTCTCAAGGGTGTAAAATTCAGTATTTTTTTTAATTTCATAGGGCAACCTCATTACAACAGACTATACAAAGTCAACTGTGAATATGGCAGAGAAGTATCCACAGTTAATGACTGGATTTGTTTGTCAGAATGCAGTTACTTTTGACAACCCTGGACTAATACAGTTAACACCTGGTGTTCAACTTGAAAAACCTAAAGATAATCTCGGCCAAGTGTACAATACACCTGAGAAAGTTATTGAAAATGGAGCTGATGTGGTTGTAGTAGGTCGTGGTATAGTGGCATCCAAAAATCCAGAAACAGAAGCAGTTCTTTATAAAAAGATTTTATGGAAAAGTTATTCAAAGAGAATTTTGGGCAAAATGGAGTAATTATGGCCTTCGAAATTTTTAATTCAAGACAGACAGAAGAAGAAAAACATTCACACAAAAATAAAGATAATGCTGTAGCAGTTAAATTCTTAACTAATTATGATGTAGTAAGTTCTTGATTGACCAAGAAAATAAAATAACACAAAATGACACACAAAGATAACAAAAAAAAAGGAAATAACTTTTCAAAAAGTCCAAAAATCATATAATTTTCAACAGCAACATGAAGAGAATACATTACACAAATATTTTAGCAAATAAAGTTTTCATTCCATTTTCTAAACCTAAAGGAATTAATTATGTTATGATTAAGATGTAAGATTATAATGTATATTTTTATATTACTTATATGGCCTATAGCCAACATTCCTCAATTATATTGTCGATTTGACCTTGATATATTTTATTATGTTTTGTTTTACATATAAGAAATAATGCTTTAGTATAACAAGTTAAAATAAAGTTATATTTACAAACGTTATGTGTTTATTTATAGCCCTGACGGAAATAAAGAATGAATATTAGTAGTATGAGGAATATTTGATGACTACAATAACATCTACCAGCACTCTATAGAGTGCAGTGCAGTGGTAATCTATCTACTGTTAGAAAGGAAGTAGTTTTACTATCTTGGCGGCTGCTGACTTCACGCGAGTCGCATGCACAGAATATTATTTGATGCAGATGAATGCGACAAGAACACAATACCGATAATCTTGGTGGGCCAAGATATTTGACAAGCGTTATAAATTCAAATAAAACCATTACATAATAGAATTTTCCGAAAACAATATAAATATTGGTAAAAATCACGAACAATATTTTAGTAGGAATTGCTAAAAGTACCAATTCAACGGCTGGTATCACTGGATCGATCTGTCATGTGAAATATGTCAAATTGTCAAATTCGAATAGATTATGCTTTTGTAAATTGTTCGTAGGAAAACAAAACAAAGTATCACAAAAATTAAAATGGATACTATAGTTAAAGAATTAGATATAAGTAGCAAAAACGTTTTCCCTACAAATAATCCAAATTTGTTTGTGGTAATTGTACATAGCAACTGGTTGAAAAAATGGTTAAAAAACTTGGAAGTGGATAATTCTGTGAATAACATTGATATCGCATTACAACCAGGTGAAAGTGTTCCTTATCCGTGGCGTAAAATATTTATTAGGGTATGTATTTAATATAAATTTTGTTATAATTACGCATGAAGGTGAATGTTATTGAGAATTTTTGTTCTAGGTAATAAATAAAAAATGTTCCAAGGTTTTACCATTACCGAGGTACAAGCTTAACGAGAGCAATCCAGAGTCGCCTCTGACTTTTTCCTACTTACTACAATGTATCTCACAAACAAATCAAAGAAATTTATGGAAAGAATCATATAAAAAATATTCACAAAACAATGAGAGTAGTAAAGAGGCAGCTTTAGTTAATCTCCTTGAGCATGATCAACTTTTATCTGAGGTCATCCTCAGACTGTATGGTTGCAACATAGTTAGGATTAAAAATGACAGCAAACTAAATGAGTACAAAGATGTAATTCCTAACAAACAAATTTCAAAATCTTATGAGACCCATGTCAATTTATTAGCAGCTTTAATCACTTTGGAAACCGATAACAACTATTTTATAGTCTACAGAGGTCATTATGAAAATAATTTACTAGACAGTCTTAATTTCAGTCCAAATGTAATTGATAAAACTTATGCCAGGGGTCTATTTATTGTATATCAGTTACTACACATGTCTAAAGCAATGTGTGATAGGGGCCTCAGTGTAGGTACTCTGAGACTTCAAGATATTTATTTATCAGAGAATCTCTGGTTGCAAATTATTCCTCCTATAACAAACAATATATTCTGTTTAGACAACTCTTTGATATATGAATACAATAGGAATAAAAGCCAACCTATGAATTTAAAAAATGATGATGTAAGTTGGCAAAAGGATGCAGCAAAACTGGAGCAATTATGTATGCTGTGGACTAGAGGGAAAATCTCCAACTTGGATTATCTTCTGCAATTAAATATGTTAGCTGGAAGGAGCTCTAATGATCCACAGGCACATTTCATGGTACCTTGGGTTACGGACTTTAATTCAAGATGTGGTAAGTCACATATAAAATCAATATATCTTTTTATATTTTAAAAAATGTTTACTAACAAAAGTCATGTTACAAGTTGAATAATATAATTAAAAAATCAAAAAATACAATCATCATACTTTATATTAAGATATTAGTAACTTTGTATATGTATTTTTAGGCAGAAATTGGAGGGATCTAAGTAAATCTAAATACCGTCTGAACAAAGGTGACAGGCAGTTGGATATGACATATGATGTGACAAGCGCCAATGGTCAAATACCACATCATGTGTCTGATGCTTTGTCAGATATCACTTGCTATGTGTACTTAGCAAGAAGGTAAGTTAATTATGAAGTATGTTAGTTACAATTATATTGTTACAGCTTTCGCCAACGACTGTCTGCATGGAATTATAAAACAAAACAAATGCAAGTACCCTATGTGTTCTTCTAGACTATGTTCTACATCTATGCCAAATTTCATCCAGATATGTTTATACGTTTAGGCTTATCTATCCATCCATCCATCTAAACTTTCGCATTTATAATATTATATATAGTATGATAATAATCTTATCCAGCTAATATTGTAAATTCTATATGGGTAGTGGGTCTAAAGTTTATATGGGTGGATGGATGTTTGTTAGAGATTGTAGCAAATGGCTGGACAGATTTTACTGAAATTAGGCATGGATGTAGAGGATAGTCTGGAAGAAAATGTAGCTAACTTTTGCATTTTTAATTTCCACATAGATGAAGTCTTCGGCTAGTTTTATACATTTTAATATGTATTTGTTGTTACCATATGCATAAGTAAACTATCATATTTATAGTATTAGTATGAACTATGATGTAAATTTTGCATGTTTAAAATTATTATCTGACCATATTGTTTAAAATTAATTGTAGCAATGTTTGGTTTAAAATATCAATTAGCTATACAGTAGCAACAGTCTATTTACTTTGGTATATTTAAGTGAAAGGTAAATACACAATACAAAGTTAACCTTATCAGTGTTTACTTTGCTCAGTAATGTATAAATGCCTTGATAAGAAGATTTAATGTTCCACATTTAGTATCAACAACAATAAACAAAGAAGGTTTTATAGTTATTAAATTTATTAATAAGAATTTTTATGCGTCACAAAGTCCACATTCGCAGGAGTGCTTTTTTAACGCTTAATGTTGCCGGTATTTTGACGCTTTCGTCCATACGAACGTTTTAAAATCACTCTTGTTACGTCCGCCGAGCACTGAAAATGCGTGACAAAAAGCGTCGCGGTTAAAAAGCGCACGTGTGGATGCTCTTTAGGGTCTTTAAAACTCTTAACACCTCCTTCTTTAAGGCTGAAATAAATTAACATTTAAAAAAAATAGATTTTGTAAGTCTGTTTTGTAGATGAGAGTATGAGCATAGCATTTGGTTTTGTATATCAATAAATTAAATGATAATATGCAGTCCTGTCATAATAAACCTTGGATATGTTGATAAATATGGAAAACAATTATGAGAGTAACATGTTCATATTGTTCTTTGATATCTTACTTCTTACTAATATTATAAATGCGAAAGTTAGGATGGATGGATGTTTGTTAGAGTTTGTAGCCTAAACTGCTAAACGGATCTGGATGAAATAGATATATAAAAAAGGCATAGATGAAGAGGATAGTCTGGAAAAACATTCTGTTTTTTTAATTACATTTGGACGGAGTCGCCGGCGAAAGCTAGTAGCCAATAAATATTTGCAAGAATGGCTTTGTGTCGAATTGTTGCGGATGTATGGGTACACCCCTTTTTATCTTCAACAATCTTATGTGGGGGTACAAATGTAAATAACTATAGAAATTTTATAAGGGGGGGTTCATACATATGGAAATAGGTTCTGTAACCTTAGTATAAATCTTACTAATATTATGAATGCGAAGACGGATGTTAGAGTTTGCCGGGTTAACGGTTGAATGTCTATGAAATTTAGCACAGATGTAGAACATACTATGGAAGTCGCAAGTAAAAGCTAGTTATAATTTCAGAACACCAAAGGAGATCCTTTGTAAATACGTGCGAAACAAATGGGTGCCCGCGGAATACCCGGCCTCCATACAGCGCATGCAGGAGTGGACCCCCGATGAGTGTATACCTGAGTTCTATACCGATCCAACAGTCTTCAAGAGCATACATGAAGATCTACCGGTAAATATCTAAAAATTCTTAACTCAACATTTACGAGATATTAATTCATTTAATGCGGAGCGTCGGTGGCTCATTGGTTTAAGCACTTGACTTGTAATCTAGAGGTCTTGGGTTCGAATCCCGCCATGTACCAGTGTGATTTTCGATTTTTTCAATTTTCATATGTATATAATTTACCCGACGTTCTTACGGTGAAGGAAAACATCGTGATGCAACCTGCACATATCGGCAAAGAAATTCAAAGATATGTGTGAAGTCAACCAACCCGCACTTGGCCAGCGTGGTTGAATATGGCCTAGGCACCCTAACTTAGGGGAGGCTCCGAGCCCCTCGGTGGGGACGTATAGTGAGCTGGTGATGATGTTGATGAAGTCATTTAAGAAGTCTTCCTATGTGTATATTTAGTAGAAATCTATCATAAGGTAATCCCTAAGTAACCAATCTGGCGTATTTAGTCTTAAGGTATTTTTTCCACAAATTTATAGGATCTAGGTATACCGTCGTGGGCTACTTGCGCTGAAGACTTCATAACTAAGCACAGGGAAGCGTTGGAGAGCTCTCACGTGTCTGAAAACTTACATCACTGGATCGATATTACTTTCGGTTACAAGTATGTATATTTTATTATAAACACTATGCGATTAATTCTTGTATTTCTTACTTATTAAAAAAAAAAACAGAAATTATGAAATGACAACAAAGGCCTGTGTCATTGGCTTACAATTACCAAGGCAATCTTGTTTATTGCTGTTATTCGTTTGTAGTTTTTGTCTGTTCTAGAATAACAGATATTTTCCAATTTATTAAATGTCTTCATCCCATAAATATATAGCGTGAAAATATATAGCCTATAATGTGTCATAAGTAGTTTTTTTTTTACTAAAAAAGAATTATAAAAAATAAACTGTGATTGGTGATATACTGATATACATAACAAGGTGTGTGTTAATTTTTATTACATTAGTATAGATAATATTAAGAGTGTGAAGGGGTACACCGGTAGAGTTAGACTTAGAAAGAGATGGATGGATTGCATGAAAGGTGATATGATCAAGAAATGAGTTGACGGATGGTAGAGACATTTTGAGGACGAAATTTTGTAAAATAAGGTAGGGAAGATGATGGTAGTATGGAATAACAAGGCTATAAATGCGATAGGTTATCAGGTACAGCAGCAGTGAAAGCGAAGAATGTCTGCCTGTCGCTGGTAGACGGGCACTGCAGCGTGCGGCGCGGCGGCGCGGTGCAGCTGTTCAGCGCGCCGCACCCCGCGCGGAGAGCGCGCGCGCCCCCGCCCGCTCCTATACGCATGCGTTGGACCACCCCCAATGCTAGTGAGCCTTGTTATAACAGTTTATATTTAATTTTATTTCGAAATTACCTTGCATCTGCGACTCCGTACTGTTGAATTTAAAAAAAAAGTAACCTGTGTTGTTCTTTTAGACTTTGTTCGGCATCTATGTTAAATTTCGTCGAGATCCGTTGAGCAGTTTACGTTATAAACTCTAACAAACATCCATCTAAACTTTGACATTTATAATATTAGTAATATTATGATGACATTATAAAATGACTAGATATGTTTTATCCTCACATAACAACCGAAACAAATTCCATGCTCAGGGACACCACACGGGATTTAAAATATTAAGTGTGAAATTTCTGACTGACCCTTTTATTTTACAGAAAAAATCATCAAAAACGATAGTTCAGAAGACATAACAGAGGAAGAAGAGGAATCGAATAGTCTGCCTCAGCACGTGTCTCGTCTACAAGTGCCGTCACAACGCGTCCGATCACGACACAAGAGCAGCAGCCGAGCTCGCTCACTGTCCAAAGCCCAAGATGGCGGCGATGACGTCATTACGGAAAATAGAGCCTCCTCACATTCCAGACATTACAAAGTACAGCGCTCAGAACTAGGCAAAGGAGTTATATATTTACCGAAAGAATTCAATCCCGCTGCATCTATCCAAGCTTTAGAAGTCTTGGATAATTTTAGAACAAAATGTTTCTTCGCTAAAGCGGAAGATAGGAACAGAACAGAGGAAAATACCCGTAAATTAAATTTGTTTCAACAGCAAAAAGACGTAAAGGAAAATGCCAATGGACTCAAGGAGAAAACTGACGATACAGCATTCACTAACCATATGTTCTACGCGTCTTTCGATCAAGCGTACTTGAAGAAGTTCAGCCAGGATGCACATATAGACGGTATAAAAGAGAGGAAGAACAGAATGTTCAACACGAGGTATACCACAGATGCGGCGATATACAAGCAGTTTGTGACAGAAAGTCGACAACAAGACATGTTAGTTATCGGATGTCTGATTGTGGAAATTTTCTTGCACTCTTACATGCGACCATTGAGGACAAACAACGATGATTTCGTCGAAAGATACAACAGTTGTCGAACTGTATTGAAATACAATTTCAATTCGTTACCGAAATGCGTCAGTTATATAGCCTCGTTACTTTTAAACGTTCAACCTTTAAGCCTCACCTTCAAGAATGATCTAATACCCTTAGTAGATACAAAAGGTGCGGTTGTGACAGACAAAGGTTTACCCTCTCCTACCCCCGCGCAGTTACTCCAACCTTTACTTATGCAGCATTTAATACCTTTCCCGCAAAGTTTTAACATCTTATACAATCTTGTAAGTACGTTACATGAGTACGAACTCACAAGCAACGAACTCAACTTGCTGTACATGTACGAATGTGATGGAATACAATGCGAGAAATATAAAAATGTCGATAAAACAAAACTGTATTTCAATCAACGGATCGCTGAAGGAAAAATTAAAACCTGTATAACACATTTGGGAGTTCTCCTCGAGCAGATAAACGGCGTCAATCAACTCGATGTTCTCGACATTTTCTTATCACATTACATCGAGTTACTGGAAAATAAAAACACATCTGTTTTAGCAGCTTGGTATCTCTTCGACACTGTTAGCAAAGCTTTAGGACCAGCAGAGACACGGAAAAAACTATTAAAACACATCCTAAATTTGTACGAAGATGATGATTATCTTTTTGATAAATCAGAACAACATAAATTAACTGAAGTAGATTCTCTAACAAACGGAACTGTACAAACGAAACACAAATTCGTGAAACTTTACCATCATATATTTCTTTTGCAATTGATAGTGAGGTTAGGACTTCAATGTTTTCTGGACAATTTTACGCAGCATCTAGTTGAAGCTGTGGGAGGATATAAGGACGTTTGTACGGAAATAGGGTCACCAGGCCACCTGTGTTATAATCGTTCGATGGCTAATAAGAAACCGCGCTACTCCGATGACAATGTCAAGAATGCTCTAACGACCACATCCGATATATTTTCACCGGATACTTCGTATGGATCAGAAAATGTCGTCACACCAAACATTGAAAGAACTATAGCAGAGGTTAATGAAGTCTTGAAAGAAAAGGACGTTGATAGCAGAAGTGAAAATGAGCTGTTCCATTTTGAAAATGACAAAGAGAGACAGCCGAGTAGGAGTAGCAGAAGTAAATCTCCTACAGGCTCCGTTGACTCCAATACTAACAAAGAACAAAACACACTACAAACCCCGTCTCCTTCTTCCGAGTACTTCTCGCCTGGGAATTCTAGATTCTTCACTCCAAACATTTCAAATCATAAAGAGCCTAATCAAGTAGGTAAGGATGAAAGTCGCGAATCTTCGGAAGCACCAGTAAAAACGTGTACATCACCACCAATGGAAGTTCCCCAGCGACCTATGTTCACAAGTTACTTGCATTTCGCTGAAGAAGATTCTAAATCGGAAGAAGTTGATTTGGAAAATCAATCACAAACAGAGGAAAAGGTTGAAGATTCGAGCGCGGAGACACAAAAGATGCAAGAGGAAGACGATGCTAAAGTTTATGATGAAACACCGTCTTGTAAAATATCAGATATGAGTTCAGAGAGTTTGATATGGCTGGCGCATAGACTGGGACCAGTGCTTACTTGTAGATACATCACTAGGAATTTGCTCAAAATGCTCACACTTTGCTATATCGGTAAAGAAAACCTCTCACCTTGGGAGAGTGACCAGAGAGATGAATTCGATGAAATTTCAGTCGTGAACAGTAAAGTCGTTGGAGACAGGAATGCTATGAAAGTTATTGAGTGTCTTACATCGATTGTTGGTAAGTGTTTTATTATTTTTTTTTATTTAAGAAACATTAGTTGAGAAGAGAAAGAATAATTGAGATTACATTTATGTGTTAATTTTTCTTCTTATAATCTACCCAGGTTAGTGGCTCAGGGGTTATCACTTGATTTGTAATCTACAGTTCCTGGTTACGAATCCCGCCATGTACCAGTGTTATTTTCGATTTTCGGATTCCATATTGCATATGTACATAATATACCCGAGTAACTTACGGTAAAGAAAAACATCGTCGTACATTTCTGAGAAGAAATTTTCAGTATGTGAAGTCAACCCGTAGAGGGCCAGCTTGAAAAGCCTAGTCTCCTCTAACTTGCATATGGCTCTGTAGTTGGGATACATAGTAAGTTGACTATGGCCTAGTCACCTCTTATTTAGGGTATGCTCCGAGCCCCTTATTGGGGACGTATAGTGAGCTGGTGATGATAATGATGATGAATCTCTAATTGCATTATTTAGTTTGGTGATTGTTGCAGCGATGTACGGCGAGCAGCTGATAATGTTCCAGTATCTACCGCATATGGGGGAGCTGATCGCGTCGTGCCGGCGGCGGCTGTCGGCGCCGCTGGAGGGCGGCTGCGTCGCCTGTCTGCAGCTGCTCAAGCACCTGCTGCCGTATATGTCCGATGTTAAGGTCATGGAACAGCTCCAGGTAACGTCAATCAGTATCGGTATCGGTATCGGTATCGGTATCGGTATCAGTATCGGTATCACTAGGTATCGGTATCCTATGCTGTACTGAACCATACTTAAGGGTTCGAATTTGACATTCTACAGTTGTACTAGACATATTCATATTATAGTCAAGTTCTGAAACAGTTTGCTTCGTAAGCGTGGTTACAATCTAAGAAATGTCTATTTTAATGGAAGTTCGATATTAAAGTTGTTATGTATTTAACTTTCGTTTCAGTGTTCGGGCATTAATATCATTAGTAGAATTTATACATTAATGTAAAAAAAAAACATTATTTTATGAGCACTGTTTTTGTATCGTATATTTTTAAAACAAATAGTTTCTGGTACAATATTTTCATCATTAAAAATACTTATTTCGGACACTAGTAATAATTTTTTCAATATGAATAGATACTGATTTCTATGGTCTAGTTGCATCACTATATTGTCGAATTACGGTAGTCGTTTGCACTTTTGTCACTTTAAAAAATATATCAACAGGATACGTTTCTAAAATCGATCCTACAACCGGCTCTTCGTCTTGCATCGACCACTCGTTGCGCGTATCCGAGCGGGGCAGCGGCGCGCGGCGCACTCGCCCGCAAGCTGGCGGACGCGCTGCACGCGCTGGCTCTACGCGTCGGCCCCGAGATGAGCCGCCGGCATCTCTGCGTGCCCGCGCTGCAGAGGTCGATACACTATACAATACTTTCGCTCGCGATTCTGCCTCTTTTGAAATCAATCTATACGAGTATTATAAAGAGGAAAACATTGTTTGTCTGAGTGTAATGAATAGGCTCAAAAACTACTGGGCCAATTTTCAAAATTCTTTCATCGTTAGAAAGGTAATTTATCTGTGAGTAACATAGGCTATATTTGATCATTTTACTATATGATTTTTACATTTAACGCGGACGGAGTCGCGGGCAAACGCTAGTAAATAATAAAGCCTATGATATCAGTAATAACTCAATATACCTCCTCACTGAGGGCCCACTGTACTACTTCACACTGAATTTATTCTCAGACAAGCTATTGATCGCGACTTCGCCCTAGTAATTTAAAAAAAAAATATATACTCACTGATATATGTTACTTACTGATAATATATTTTTAATGGTGAAATAATTTTTGAAATAGGCCGAGTAGTTTTTTGAGTTATAACAATACGTACGAAAATTGTAAAAATACAAATCTTTCCTCTTTATAACATTATTAAAGATTGACTCCTATAAATAAATAGTCAAATTTCATTCCATTCATTCGGTTCCAGATTCTTTTTAGCCTTCGATAAAGCAACTGGAAAAGTTGACAACTGGCCGAAACAAGACGAAGTCAATGGTGATAAGGTAATTAACAATTTATATCTAAATCATTGCATTTAGTGTCGTATGTTATTTAACTTTTTTTGTCTTCAATTAATTTTGTCCGGACTCTTATTGCATAACTTACTGAAGGTTCCTAAAATACATGCTCGTTTGTTTTTTTTCTGTTTTAATCGTAGTGATGTCGCTTGTAAAGACCATATTTAATATATTTCCCCTGTATTGTGTAGAAAATATATTTTATATCTTTCCTATGTACAGAGACTATATTACACTGTGTAGATAATATATTTACTATCATTTCCCTGTATTGTGCAGAGACTACAGTAGACTATGTAAAGACTATATTTCATATCTTTTCCCTGTGTTGTGCAGAGACTAGCAGACTATGTAGAGACTATATTTAATATCTTTCCCCTGCATTGTGCAGAGATTGTCGACTAGATTAAGACTACATTTCATATATTTGCCTTGTACTGTGCAGAGACTAGCAGACTATCTAGAGACTATATTTAATATCTTTCCCCTGTATTGTACAGAGATTGTCGACTATATTCAGACTAAATTTCATATATTTCCCTTGTACTGTGCAGAGACTGGCAGACTATGTAGAGACTATATATAATATGATTCCCCTGTGTTATGCAGAGTTTGGAGCAGGACGGTCGCGAGGGCAAGGTGGAGGGTTTCCTGGAGATCTGCCGCGACGGCAGCACGGCGGAGTGGGCGGTGCGCGACGGGCGCGTGGTGCGCGCGGACCTGCCCGAGCTGGCCTGCTCGCCGCCGGACCTCGCGCCGGACGAACATGACGCTAATGGACTTACGGTAAGTCAATAAGTGAAGCTGTTGCTCTCGACTTCGTCTGCCTCAAATTGAATAAATGTAAATATATATGTTAATCACTGATAATGTAGCTTTTTAACGGTGAATTGAAATCGGTCCTGTAGTTATTGAGTTATTTCAATACATACAAAAATACAAATCTTTCCATCTTTATAATATTAGTATAGACTGATTGAATGACTGTGTGAACGGAGTGTAATATCTATGACTATACGGTGGTGGCAGGTTTAAAATAATCAATTTTTATCCTTATCTTACTTCTTATTTTACTAATATTATAAATTCGAATGTTTGGGTGAATGGATGGAGGTTTAGTAGAGTTTTAACCCTAAAGTGCAGATCTCGATGAAATTTGGCACATATGTTGAACATAGTCTAGATGGAAACATCGGTTAAACACAAGCTTTCGTCCGCATCTTCGCCTATGTATTCTTTTATATTATCCTCTACATCTATACCAAATTTCGTCGAGATCCGTTCAGCAGTAGGTTAAAAACATCCATCCATCCAAACTTTGCATTTATAATATTTGTACCATGTAGGCTCAGGAGGAGCTCCTGGTGGTATTCAATGAGGAGCTGGCGTACCGAGTGCATAGCACTTTTGCTCGCTTCCTCGGTACGGAGTGCCTCGAGCGCGCGCTCAAGAACGCGGACACTGTGCGCTCACTTGCCAACAGTTATAAACAACTACACGCTATCAGGTGATTATGAAACACGAAACAAGCCACAAACATGATTAAAACACATTTTTTAACAGACTAACTGTTGCTCGCGACTTTGTCCGTGTGAAATTAAAAATAATAGAAAACATAGCCTATGTTTCTCAACGTATATTTTAATGGTGAAAAAAATAGAAATTGACCCAGTTTTTGAGTTATTACAATACATACAAATATACATATTTTTCCTCTTTATAATTAGTAAAGATAAAACGTACTTCTTTACTAGACTCCTTAACAAAGTTTTTTTTAAGTATTGATGTTTTTAGGGTGTGTGTTATTACTTAAGGATTGTTACAAAAACTTTATTTTTTGAGAGCCTTGGTGGCTCAGGTGGTTTACACTTGACTTGTAATCTACAAAGTCCTGGGTTCGAATCCCGCCATTTACTATTTTTTACGAATTTCGTAATTTACCTGACATTCTTTCTGCGAATGAATTCAAAGATATTTGAAGTCAACCCGCATTGAGCCATGATTGACTATGACCTATAGACGTGAGTCGTCACGTCATTTTCGAGAAGCGTAACGAAACTAGTGATTCGTTCGGCGTCACGTGTTTTAAAACTAGTGTTTTTGTACCTAGTTAAATGGTTGACTATGGCCTAGTCACTCCTAACTTAGTGTAGGCACTGATCTCTTCAGTGGGGACATATAGTAATAATTTATAAAACTTTCAGTTCCCCCCTCCATATAAACCAGCAAGGGAAACGCTTCCAATCATCATTCAGTGATGAACCGATCAGTCGCAAGGCTCTCACTCCAACAAGAAGTGATATCTCCGACAATGGTAACTTCGGTAACG